TTTTAATTCATATGAAACTCGTAATATTGAATGTATTTACTCATTTATTAATATATTAAAGTTGTATAAAAAAATAATATAAAAAATTATTTTAAAAAATTATCCCTATAACACCACATATATATATAAGTTGTAATTATCTTCACATGTAAAAAAATAAATGTTGTAATTATTTTTTTAAATATAGATAAAATATAAATAAATGTATTAAATAACATAGTGAGCAATTAATTTTAAGTGCAGAAAATATAATGGTTTTTTTGATAAAAGTGGATGTTAATTACATTTAATTTCACAAAAAGAAGATTTTTGCCAAAAAAAAAAGTTCAATTAATCGCATTTTTTTATGTTAATTATTCGCATTTTATCACATGGAAAATTCTGGGTTGCATGATCTCAACTCAACATCATGTTGAATCACATGCTGTACTTTTTTTTTTTTTTTTTGTGCATAAAAGAAGATGATAAGAAATCACATGCTGTACTTTGGTTGAGCGGCTTCCTTACCTACAACGTTTTAACCCCACCAAATCGGCTTTCCTACTTACTGATAAAGTTTAGTTCAGCCCTTCATGTTTTATTTGACTCACTTAAGTCCTCACGCTTGCAACATGAAATAAACTTAACTCAATACTCGGGTTATTAAAAATCAAATTTATTTTGGTGGATGTTTCACCTTTTACCCTTTAACTTCTTCACCTTCCACTTCTATTATGTAATAATAATATTAATTAAGTTTATCATGCAACTTCTTTTCTTTCTTTTTTTTTGTATTTTAATTATATAATATGAAGTAATTATTTCTTATTTTTATCGTATCACACTCATATGTTATATGCTTTGAATTTAAAATTTTTTATTTTTAATAAAAAAATATTATTATCAAATTATTTAAATAATAAATATTATACAACTTCTCATTTAATGACTTAATAATTAAATAAAATTTTGTAATTATCACTTTGGATTTCGTATGATTCATAAAAAAAATCATGTCATGAAAATATTTTATGTATTTTCTGGTGTTTAGAAGGTACTTTTAAAAGTAAATTAACAAAAAAAAAAATTGAGTTAACCAAAAACATTGTTAACTTTTTCCCAAAAGATCACTTCTAGATTTCTACACTTTAAAAACTCACGAAATCTTAAGCTGGTATACGGACCGCATGAAGGTTATCGATAAACGACACCTCTGCATGTCCTTTCACCTGTGAATCTTTCTCACAAAAAAGTTGTATAGCCAATTCATCGAACTTAGAAAAGCAGTTTTTTTCTTTTTTTTTTCTTTTTTTAACAAAGACAACTACAAGGGAAAGGAAAGGGGATGGAAGCGACGATAATTATGAGGGAAGGAAAGGGAATGCGGTTAATTTATGGATTGAAAGAAGAGAGGCACTGATAATTTATAGAGTTAGTATGAATATTTATGGTTGATGAAATTTAAATTATTAATTAATTTTATTGAAATACTAAAATTTAAAAATAAATTATTAAATTTTAAAGAGTCAATTCAATAATTCATTAAGTCCATTTATCCATATAAGTTTTAAATTTTGTTGATTTTAAGCATATAGTAAATGATTGATTTTTGTAACTCTTACTATTTATTTAATTTATATATAAAACTTGTATTTTTATAAATTGAGTGTTGAAGAAAAAAAATACAAATATTATTGACTCTCAAAGTTTTTCTAATTTTTTTAACTACTATGTATATTTCTTTATTATTTCACAACAGCATATTTTATTATTATTTTTAATCAATACAATTTTCAATTACAATCCACTAGTTACATGTAATATCGAACAATCAACACGTGATGAAAAAAAAATATGCCATTTTTCGGAAGTTAAGCTGTCATTTTCTTTCCAAATTTCACTCATGTTGGAGTACACTCTGGCGCACTCCGCGCGCCGACCTTGTCGGCTTGTCTGTCGTACGACAACTACGAGCCCCAAAGATGGGT